CAAGGGTTAGATCTTGAGAACATTTGGGACCAAGTAAGGTATCTTTCAGACATTAATTATATTATATATTATTTTTTCTTGAATTGATAGTTACTGTTTATTACAGCTTCTAGATTTTCCTTATCCATTATTTGGAATTTTTTTTTTTTTCCCTCTCTTGATTTAGATTCTAGCTGATTCTCCTCATCTACTACATTTGGAGATGGATTTGTGATCTGTTGGGTGATTATTGTTGAATTTTTTCAAGAATATGGCTGGATCAGAGAGGAGGAAAAGATTGATTTTTAGTAAAATATATTCTTTCAAGTGTTTAAAACCTTTCTCTAGAGAAGAAGATCAGTCTCAGATTGGTACAAGAGGTTACTCAAGAGTTGTGTTGTGTAATGATCCGGATAACCCCGAGGCGGTTCAGCTTAATTACAGAGGGAATTATGTATCAACCACTAAGTACACAGCTACTAATTTCATCCCAAAGTCTTTGTTTGAGCAGTTTAGAAGAGTTGCCAATATATATTTCCTTGTTGTTGCTTTCGTTTCCTTTAGCCCTTTGGCTCCTTATACTGCTCCTAGTGTTCTTGCACCTCTCTTGATTGTGATCGGTGCGACTATGGTTAAAGAAGGAGTTGAAGATTGGAGGAGAAGGAAACAAGTATGGCTTTGTCTTTGTGTTTTTGAGATTAGGATCTTGATTTTGTGATGAGTTTTATGTTTCTTTTGTATAATAGGACATTGAAGCTAACAATAGGAAAGTTGAAGTTCTCGGTAAAAACGGTACATTTGGCGAAACGAAGTGGAAAAATCTTCGAGTTGGTGATCTTGTGAAGGTTCACAAGGATGAGTATTTTCCGGCTGATCTTCTTCTTCTTTCGTCAAGCTATGAAGACGGGATTTGTTATGTTGAGACCATGAATCTTGATGGAGAGACTAATTTGAAGCTAAAGCACGCGTTGGAGATCACATCCGATGAAGAGCCGATCAAGAACTTCAGGGGGGTGGTCAAATGTGAGGATCCTAATGAGCATTTATATTCCTTTGTAGGAACGCTTCACTTCCAAGGAAAGCAATATCCTCTCTCTCCTCAGCAGATACTATTAAGAGATTCGAAGCTGAAAAACACCGATTACGTTCACGGAGTGGTTGTTTTCACGGGTCATGACACCAAAGTGATGCAGAATGCTACTGATCCTCCTTCCAAGAGGAGTAAGATTGAGAAAAAAATGGACAAGATCGTTTACATACTCTTCAGTATCTTGATTGTGATATCGTTTACTGGATCTGTGTTCTTCGGGGTTATAACGAGAAGAGATCTCAGTGATAATGGGAAGCTACGTAGATGGTATCTTAGACCGGATCAGATTAGTGTGTTTTACGACCCACGGAAAGCAATTGCTGCTGCTTTCTTTCATTTCTTAACTGCTCTAATGCTATATGGTTACTTAATACCGATATCGTTATATGTCTCGATTGAAATGGTGAAGGTGTTACAGAGTATTTTCATCAACCAAGACCAAGAGATGTACCACGAGGAAACTGATAGGCCTGCTCGTGCAAGGACGTCTAATCTCAACGAAGAGCTCGGTCAAGTCGATACAATTCTCTCGGATAAAACAGGTACTCTGACTTGCAATTCAATGGAGTTTGTGAAATGTTCGATCGCTGGAACTGCTTATGGGCGTGGTATGACAGAAGTAGAAATGGCCTTGAGAAAGCAAAAGGGTATGATACCTCAAGAAGAAGTTGATGATGATTCTTTATACATTAAGGAGAAAAAAGCAAATTCGACAAAGTCGGTTAAAGGTTTTAACTTCTGGGATGAGAGAATAGTTGATGGGCAATGGATCAATCAACCAAATGCAGAACTCATCCAGAAGTTCTTTCGGGTGTTAGCTATTTGCCACACTGCTATCCCTGATGTAAACAGTGATACCGGAGAAATCACATATGAAGCTGAGTCTCCTGATGAAGCAGCTTTTGTCATAGCTTCTCGAGAGCTTGGATTTGAATTCTTTGCAAGGTCTCAAACTAGTATATCTTTGCATGAAATAGACCACATGACCGGTGAAAAAGTTGACAGGTAAGCGAAATGCGGAATCTTTCTTTTTGGCTAAAATGAGAATGCAGCATTTCTGAAGTTATCACATTTTCAAAAATTTTCAGAGTATATGAGCTGCTTCATGTCCTAGAGTTCAGCAGTTCACGCAAAAGAATGTCGGTAATTGTGCGAAATCCGGAAAACCGGTTATTGTTGCTTTCAAAAGGCGCAGACAGGTTAGTACTTATTCGTTATGGAGAAGCTCAAATCTTAAAATCATCGCATATGATTCAATGGAGATATCTTCTTTTGTCATGTGTTTCAGTGTAATGTTTGAAAGACTTGAAAAACACGGACGCCAAAATGAAAGAGAGACAAAGGAACATCTCAAGAGGTATGCAGAGGCAGGTTTAAGAACTTTGGTGATAACATACAGAGAAGTCGATGAAGACGAGTACAGAATCTGGGAAGAGGAGTTTCTGAAAGCCAAAACTTTGGTCACTGAAGATAGAGATTCTTTAATTGATGCAGCTGCTGATAAGATTGAGAAGGATTTGATTCTTCTTGGCTCTACTGCAGTGGAAGACAAGCTGCAGAAGGGTGTAAGTATAAGAAACACAATTTGATTTCTTGTTTTTCAGTTCTGTTATTTAGTTTGATTTTCTTGTTAAACAGGTTCCAGATTGTATTGAAAAGTTATCTCAAGCTGGGGTAAAAATATGGGTTTTAACCGGTGATAAGACGGAAACTGCAATAAATATCGGGTATTTTTAGACTTCTCTTAATTATCATTTTTTCTGTAGAAGTTAAAAATTATTAAGCTATGATGTTGTTGACAGATATGCTTGTAGTCTCTTAAGAGAAGGCATGAAAAAGATTTTGATAACTCTAGATTCACCTGACATTGAAGCCTTAGAAAAACAAGGAGACAAAAATGCTGTTGCAAAGGTAGTTTGTTTTTCTTGTGTTGTCGCATACATAGCTCTTAAAAACTTTCTATGTTTATGAGAAATGAATATAATTGTTTACTTGTTTGTTTTGTTCATAGGCTTCTTTTCAGAGTATTAAAAAACAGTTACGAGATGGAATGACACAAACTGTTGCAGAAACCGATAATTCAGCCAAAGAAAATATGGAAATGTTTGGTTTAGTGATTGATGGAAATTCCTTAACCTTTGCATTGGACACAATGCTGGAGAAAGAGTTCTTGGAACTTGCGATTCGATGTAATTCTGTTATATGTTGCCGGTCTTCACCAAAACAAAAGGCTCTCGTAAGATTCGATTCGAGTCAACATTCTCATTCTCGTTTCACTTATCTTTTCACATTAAAGTAAAATCTGATTGATAGGCATAGAATATATATATTATGTTAGGTTACAAGATTGGTAAAAAGCGGGACAGGTAGAACTACACTGGCCATTGGAGATGGTGCAAATGATGTTGGAATGCTTCAAGAAGCCGATATTGGAGTCGGTATAAGCGGTGCCGAAGGAATGCAGGTAACAGATTTTCTTAGGTCCTCTTTTATTTACTATGAAATGATCATTAAAGCACTGAATTTTTCTGTTACAGGCAGTGATGGCTAGTGATTTTGCGATTGCTCAGTTTCGGTTTCTGGAACGTTTATTGCTTGTTCACGGTCATTGGTGTTATAGGCGTATCGCAATGATGGTAAATAAACACTCAACTTATTTACTCTATTCTTGAGGTATCCAATCCTGTTTCAGGCTCGGTACAGTGTGGGTTTTTGTATCATTCGGTTTATGAAATATAATACCACATGGAAATATCCGTTCGGTTTCGGCATTTTAGAAACTGTATAAAGGAGTTTTAAAGAAATGTAGGTGTTAACCGACTTGTTTTCTTTTCGGTTACCATCACGGTTTGTTCGGATATTGAGTGAATCATCAGTTTGTTTTTGGACTTTTTTTGGGACTGGTTTAGATTGATTAAACACCAGATTTGGGACTTCTTCTCATTGCATGATTTAAATTCAGAATATTTGTTCTTTTTTCTAATTGTTTCCTTGTGAATATCAGATATGCTACTTCTTCTACAAGAACCTCACATTCGGGTTCACGCTGTTTTGGTATGAAGCCTATGCATCTTTCTCTGGAAAACCAGCTTATAACGATTGGTACATGTCGTGCTACAATGTCTTCTTCACTTCACTTCCAGTCATCGCCCTCGGAGTCTTTGATCAGGATGTCTCTGCTCGCCTTTGTCTGAAGGTGTAAAGATTTTCCTCTCTCTCTCGATTAGAAACAATCACTTTGTGTGTCTTGATTTTTGTTTTCTGCAGTATCCGTTGCTGTACCAAGAAGGGGTACAGAACGTACTATTCAGCTGGGGACGGATCCTCGGTTGGATGTTGAACGGGATCATAAGCTCAATGATCATCTTCTTCATCACAATCAACACAATGGCGGCTCAAGCTTTCCGGATCGATGGCCAAGTAGTTGATTACTCGGTTCTCGGCGTAACAATGTACTCTTCCGTGGTCTGGACGGTGAATTGCCAAATGGCTATTTCGATAAATTACTTCACTTGGATCCAACATTGCTTCATTTGGGGAAGCATAGGGTTTTGGTATTTATTCCTTGTCATCTACGGTTCTCTTCCTCCGACGTTTTCCACAACCGCGTATCAGGTCTTTGTCGAGACATCTGCACCTAGTCCGATCTGTTGGCTCACTCTTGTCCTCGTCGTGTTCTCTGCTCTCTTGCCGTATTTCTCTTACAGGGCGTTCCAGATCAAGTTCAGACCAATGTACCACGATATTATTGTTGAACAAAGGAGAGCGGAACGACCAGAGACTAGGACAAGTACGGTTTCCAGCGAGCTTCCGGTGCAAGTTGAGTTTACTTTGCATCATCTTAGGGCAAATTTGTCAAGAAGAGATTCTTGGAATTGATTCGTATTTTACGTAACTTAGCTCCATTTTTCTTTCTTATTCTGCTATTGTAAGTATTGAAAGTGAATGTAGATTGAAGTGTGACTACTTACTTAGTACGTCAAGATCGGTTTGATTGTAGTATGAACAAAAGTGAATGTAGATTTAGTGATTGTAGAGTAACTCATGAGTTTATGCAAACCAAAAAGTGTTAGTATACAGTAAAACTAATATAATAAATGTTGAACAAAGCCACCAAATCTGAAAG